GGCACCTTCACATAACTGCATATTGGGGATTATTTCCTTAAAATACAGATTTCAGGATCAAAGTAGAATTTTAAGACTTTTGAATTTTGCCCACACTATTGTTACAGGTCTTTTTGTCTTCTGACTTGAATAACCTAAAAGTCTGAAACACAGCTGCCTGCGGGCCAGCATGCACTGTAAATAAATGAAGCTGCCCAGTCTGGGGCTCATTAAAATAGCAGCTGCAGAAACAGTTGCTCTTCGGTCCCAGCATAATTAGCAAATCCAGATGCATAATTTAAAGTCTTTTAATTTGTACATGTTGGTAACAAAATTCTAAATTTTAATTCAGCTTTTAATTTAATTACTTTATAGTACTGTGTAAAAGTAAAACACAGCATCATTAGAGTATTGCCTTTCTTTATTATTATTATTTTTTTTTTAAGTACCAGGGATTGAACCCAGGGCCTTTGCCTATGGTAGGCAAGTGCTTTACCACAGAGCTATATCCCTAGCTCCTGGTATTAACTCTTTCTTATTAGGAATATACACTAATTATCTTAACTACCTAAAACATTATACCCCTTGATAAAGTTTCATGTTTTTAGTATTCATTTCATATTAATTTTATACATAGCTGGTTTTGTTTTATTGCTTCTTTAAAATTGTGAATTAGTGTTTTTGTTTGTTTATTTGTTTTTAGCAGTACCCAGGATCAAACCCAGGGTCTCACCCTTGCTAGGCAAGCACATTGCTACTGAGCTACATCCCCAGCCACTGAATTAGGTCTTTTTAATCATTTTTTATTAGGCTAATGTTGATATATAGGAAAGTTGTTACATAGAAAATCTTCTAAGCTCTAATTCAAATATAATTTTTTTTGTTTTCCAACAAGTAATGATGATTTGCCTCCTTCTTTCCAACATTTATACGTACTTTTTTATTGTTTTAGCTAATTATATTAACTAGCACTCCAGAGGGAACATGTTATATAATGATGGTGATTATAGGCATCCCACATTTATGGGTTTATTTCCAGTATTTTAAGTGTGATTTTTGTTTTTTTGTCRGGGGGTATTGGGGATTGCACTCAGGGTCACTTTGTCCTCTGAGCCATATCCCCAGCCCTATTTTGTATTTTATTTAGAGACAAGGTCTCACTGAGTTGCTTAGTGCCTCACTTTTGCAGAGGCTGGCTTTGAACTTGCAGAGGCTGGTTTTGAACTCACAGTTCTCCTACCTCGGCTTCCCAAGCCCCTGGGATTACAGGTATGTGCCACCACACCTGGCTGGCTAAATATGATGTTTGATGTTGATTTACAATGAAGATGTCCTTTTAGTTCTGCTTCTAAGCAGAAACTACTTTGTTTCTGTTTTACTAAGAATTTTAAGATTCTGTTGACAAAAAAAATTAAAATAAAAAATCCACATGCTTTTAACATTTTTAATTTTTATTAACAAATACTTTTAAAAATTTAAAAACTTTGCAACTGAGGCTGCAGCTCAGTGGCAGAGCACATACTTAGCATGCATAATGCCTTAATTTCCACCCCCATCACCAAGAAAAAAAAATCAAATATAGATTAAGCAATAAGTCAGCTTCCCTCTAACTACACTTCTCCACTTCCACCTCATGGGGATCTCAGTGTGAACATGTGGTGTGTACAACCACACAGTCATAAATGTATCTGTCAAATTGATCAAAATTTTTGTCTATTAATATCATTTATAGTCACAGATTTCCATGCATTGAACCATGCTTGCATTCTGGAATAAATCCCACCTGGTCCCAGTGTATTATTCTCTTAAAAACTGCTGGACTTGATTTACCGGTATGTTATTTTAAAAAGAGCTTTGCATCTGCACATGCAAATGCCCTCGGTTCATTCTGGATGCTACTCATTGGGTTTTGGTATCAYGGTTTTATTGATTCTTTAATATAAACTTGGAGGCCTTCACATTTTGCCTTATGCTCTGGAGCAATTCAAGTAGCACAAATATTATTTCTGGTCCTAGATGTATGATAAGAGAAATATATAAATCATCTTGAACTCAGTACCCTTTATTGGGGAAATGGTGACAATGTTTAGATTATCTTCCAGAGTGATTTAGGATTTCAAATTCTTCTTAGGTTTACTTTAAAGAAAAAAATTCTAACATTATTCATCATTTTAGGACAGATCTGTGTACTAGGGCAGAAGCTGGCTTCCCACCTGGGCAGAAGCTGGCTTCCCACCCTAGCAGAACCTCCTCAACCCTGGAAAAGCATTCCCAGCCCCTCTCCCAAACCCTCTCCTTCCAGGAAGCCCCACACATGTCAGCCAACATGCTAATAGCTACAGTTGAGAGCCAGGATGGTTGTTTGTTTGTTTGTTTGTACTAGGGATTGAAGCCAGGGGTGCTTAACAAGCCTTTTTAAATTTTTGAGACAGAGTCTCACCAAGTTGCAGAGGGCCTTGCTAAGTTACTGAAGCTGGCTTCGAACTTGGCAATCCTCATGCCTCAGCCTTCCAAGTCACTGGTATTACAGGTATGTGCCACCATCACTCAGCAAGAGCCAGGAGGATTTATGAGCATCATCCTATTTAGTTCTTACAAGTGTGACAATAGCAGGGTGGCCCCCATTTCTGAAAGAGAAATTTCTTTTTCTTTTTTATTTTTATTTTTTATTTTTTAAAGAGAGAGTGAGAGAGGAGAGAGAGAGAGAATTTTTAATATTTATTTTTTAGTTGGCAGACACAACATCTTTGTTGGTATGTAGTGCTGAGGATCGAACCCGGGCCGCACACATGCCAGGCGAGCGCGCTACCGCTTGAGCCACATCCCCAGCCCCATTCTTTTTCTTTTTTAATTTGTTTTAATTAGTTACACATGACAGTACAATGATCGTTTATTTTTCAAAGGTTACTCCACTTACCCAAAGCCACTCTGCTAGTGAGAGAGTGTTTCCAACCTCAGCCTGACCTCAGGCTCCTGCTGCAGCCTGACATGAGGCTTTAAGCCAGCCTTCACATTTTACCTTATGCTCTGGAGCAATTCAAGTAGCACAAATATTATTTCTGGTCCTAGATATATAAGACAAATATATAAATCATCTTGAACTCAGTACCCTTTATTGGGGGAATGGTGATTTAATGGAGATTTAAGCCAGCCCCCAGAAATAGCTGAGCATCATACTCCTGCACACATACTGTGTTTAGGTGTCAAAGTCAAGTGGGAAATATAAAAATTGGAAACACAATGGATCTGTCAATATATGGATTGCAAAACAATTTGTGGTTGTAGGGTTTGGGGACTGTTTTTCTCAATGCAGGAAATAGAAGCAAAGAAAGTCCTTGAACACCCTCTTATGGAAAATCCCCACTTGATCCTGCCACCCTGGTTTTTGTTGACTCCCTCACACCTAAGGGATAAATTCTCGGGCCTTACCCACCTCTAGCTTCCTCCAAGCCATGGAGCTTCTTTGTGAATTCAGGCTCTTGTAAGAGGATGGGAAGTGGGCTTGTGGCATTTTGCTTTTCATTTGCCCTGGACAGTCTCTGAACCAGGTGTTGATGACATACATGCTTGCCAGAGTGGCTTGACTTGCAGGGRAAACATGGAGATCTGGGTTCAAGTCTCATCCCCACTTCTCACTGGTTGCTTAAGTAGGGAATAGGCATTTAACTCTTGAGCCTTAGTTATCCCACCTGAAAAATAGGAGGCTAATATCTACCTCTCAGGATGGTTTGGGARTTAAAATAGGAAAAATAACTCTCACAGCCTTAGCTCAGGGCCTGGCACAAGTCAGCACTGGGAGCTGAGTTCCTTTTGTGTGTGAGCTGGGGAAGTAATTAAATGCTCTGCTCAACACCAAGAGTTGGGTGGATCCCAGTGAGGTTCAGGTGGCTGTGTTGAAGGATTTGCTAAGAGAGGATCTGAGTTGGGCCACTTAGAAGACCTAGGCTTTGAGGTGGTAGGACAGCCCAGGCCCAGGCCCAGGTGATATGGGGCCATACCTGATCTAATCTCAGTAGCCTTGGGCCTCATCTTGTACAGTTTACCTACCGCAGCCCCTAGAGGATCACTTGTTTCCCCCAGTCCCCAGCAGCACTTCATTGAAACAGTTCTTATGRATGCAATTGTACCGGCCTTGGGAAGGAGACTATTCTCTGGAATGGCAGGGACCTGGACCAAAGGACACAAGGCAAAGGAGGCCTGGATAATGGGGACCTTCTAAGTGAGATGGTGTCAGGATGCTTCTCATCCCCAAGGGTCCATGCAGCATGCTGAAGTAGTCTTGTGTTTCTGAGTCCAGGGCAGGAGATGGGATGGGAGCCTGCAAACTGAGCCATAAGTGAGGAGGGCTGGACCCAGGGCAATAAATGGGCTTGGTCCTGATGGCTCCCTGCTCTAGGCAAGTTGCAGRTGGCCCATTCACAGGGGCTTCCTGAGGATGTAAGGGCTGCTAGAGCTCTTTAGAGACCAATCCTGAGAGCTCATGTTGGGGAAGAGGGAACTGGGCCTTGGTTTTGCAGACCCCCAGGAGTTGCAGAAAGAAGAGTGGTTAAGAATTTCTACTCTGGATTTCCAGTTCTGGATTTGTTTCCTGGCCTTCTACATGTCCTAGTTGTGTGGCCTTAGACAAATCACTCTTATCCTCAGCTTCATTTGCTGAGCTATAAAATGGGGTCACAATGCATCTTTATGCCCAATGATAAGGAGGATATCAAGTAAGGTGACATGTCAAGTCTTAGCATATTGCGTGAAGCACAGAAGACTCTTAAGAGTCCAAAGGGGTACGGTCCCAGGGATGAGGGTGATGGTGATGGTGGTGTGTCGTAGAAACGGGAAGGGTCTGGACACAGTCTGATTGTCAGCATGGGGGTTCAGGCAGAATCTTCTTCCCTCCCAAGTTTCACAGTCTTGTGGGCAGAGCTGARGTAGGTTTTCTGGGGCAGAGGCCCACACAGAGCAGCATTGGTCCACTGGGGGATCAGGGTAACATTCCCTCCAGTGCTTTTCCTCTGTTTCCCTCAAAGGCTTCATGCACGGTTCTACGAACTGGCCCCCAACCTTGTTCCGATGGACTACAGGAAGAGCCCCATTGTCCATGTGCCTATGAGCCTCATCATCCAGATGCCGGAGCTCCGGGTATGTGAGAGGCCTTCCCAGTTGGGCTGTGGGGATGGGGAATCTACACCTCTGGATGGGCAGCAGAGGCACCCAGCTTTGGGTGAATCCTTGCTGCACTCTTTGTGGTTCTGTGGCTCTGAGCTGACCACTGAACCTCTCTGTGCCTCAGTTTTCTCATCTGCACTCTTATGAATAAATGTGGGGAATCAATAGGGTTACTGTGGATCAGTGGCTGCCCTGCTGCTCAGCCACTGGCCTGTGCCCACCTGCCTGCCCCTTCATGAAGTGGCCTCTGTACTTGACAGATATTATATCTGCCCTTTTAGACAATTTTTCTGTCTCTTCTTTGTCTGGCTGTGGCTTCTTGCAAGGTCAGCATGGGCATCCATGGCTCACTTCTCAGAACTGAACATAGCAAAAATCACCTGAAAATCTTTTCAGAATTCTGATTCAGGTTCAGTGCATCTGGGGTAAGTCAACATTTTATTTTCTCACTAGCTCCTGAGTGAGGCTGGTCCTCAAACCTCCCATACATTTGAATGGTTCATTTCATGAGTTCCTCACCCAGAATATGTAAAGAGCATTCCAACATTAAGGAGACATTTGGAAGCTGGATGTGTTGGCACACTGCAGTAAGTCAGCAACTCAGGARGCTGAGGCAGGAGGATTGCAAGTTTAAGGTTTGCCTGAGAAACTTAGTGAGACTCTGTCTCAAAATAAAAATAAAAAAGGYCAGGATGTAGCTCAGAGTTAGAGCACCTCTGAGTTTGATCCCCAGTTCCAAAGGTGGGGGAGAAATACATTTGGGTGCAACTCCACATGCCATGGTGCTTTGCAGATGACCCCTCTCCTAGGATGTGGGGCCACAGCATTACCCAGCATCCTCATGGGACTGCACCTGGCTGACTGGAATCATGAGAGACAWTGAGCCCAAACCTTGCCTCTGGACAAGCACCAGCCTGGCCTAAAGAGGGGTGGGAGACCAGGCTCAAAGGGTCATGGAGAGCATAAGGCACTCATGGGCAGAAACCATGTGCTCTGTCTCTGAGCTCTGGGCTGGGCACTGAATGGGGCCGGCCAAGTGCTAGCCCAGTTGTGATGGAAGGAACCCAGGAGTGTGGGACTCTGCACGATTTGGTATTAGAGAAAGGAGTCAGTGTACAGCCCCCCCGGGGAGGCAGTACTGGGGGTGGTCTGGGAGAATTGGTTGCAGGCCTGGTATTTGAACCATCTCTGTGACTCCCACAGCATGTCCTGTCCTGTTATCCAACCCTTTGGGGCTCCACTTCTGGCTCCCACCATCCTGGCTTGACATGACCTGAGCTACCCATGCCAGGGAATGTCTTCTCTTGCCAAGGACAGAACCCTATCCATCAAGGCAGAAGCCTCTGTGAGCTGCCCTGGGAAATGACACAAGGCCCTGCTTCTGCCTCCCATGAGTGCACAGAGGCTCTGCTGAGCTGGAGAGCTTCTTTAGTTATATGATGTGACTGATGGAATGCTTCTATGCTGGGCCTTGCATACTTTAAATCCTTGAATCCTCTAGCAAGTCTTTGGAGTAGGTGCTATTACTGTTCCCATTTTGCAGATGGGGAAATGGAGGCTCAGAAGCTTGTCTAAGGCCACAYTGCCTGTCAGCAGTCTTCTGATTGCTGTGATTATTTTCCTCAGGAGAATCCCTTCAAGGAAAGGATCGTGGAGGCTTTTTCTGAGGATGGCGAAGGGAACCTCACCTTTAATGACTTTGTGGACATGTTTTCTGTGCTCTGCGAGTCAGCTCCCCGAGAGCTCAAGGCAAACTACGCCTTCAAGATCTATGGTAAGCAGGGCCTGGAGGCAGGGAAGTGGTATTCAGGGCCATCTGGCCATCCAGTTACTGCTGGCTCCCACCATGGGAGACACCAAGAACAACAAGGCTGACCTCTAAAGAGTGCTGGTCCAGGGCTGGGGTTGTGGCTCAGCGGTAGAGCACTCGCCTGGCACGTGTGAGACCCTGGGTTCAATCCTCAGCACCACATAAAAATAAATAAGTGAAATAAAGATATTGTGTCCAACTACAACTAAGAAAAAAAAAAATATATATATATATATATATATATTATTTTTTTTTTTTTTAAGAGTGCTGGTCCAGCATGGGGGCAGTAAGGGACACATTCTGCCTGAGAGCCATCCTCAGGGATCCTAAGAGCAGAGGAGGAAGAGACTTGCCCACCATGGGTTGGGGTTAGTGTGAGGAGGGAGTCACATGTGATGTCATTTAATGAAGGCCTAGAGGATTTGAGAAGATTTGTCAACTGGACACATGGGAGTGGTCAGCCCTGGCAGAGGGGGCAGCCTATAAGGACTTAGAGAAACAGGAAGGCACAGGACTCAATAAGATAAAAGAGGTTTGGGACATGGTGGGGCTTGTGGCAGTGTGGGTCTGGAGAGGTAAACTGGGGCCGGGTTGTAAGGAGCCAGCCTGGGAGTTTGGTTCTAATGCTCAGGGCACCGGGCACTGCAGGGTGTCCAGGGAAGGGAAGCTGTGTTTTGAAAGATCTCTCAGAAACTTTGGGGTGTGAACAGGAGCCATACTGAATCTGGGGCCCAGAGATGAGGTGTGGGCCCGTGGTGGGAAGGCTGAGCAGCAAGAGAGGCCCCCAAAGTGCCAAGGGTAAGGGGGCTCTTCATTTCACCCTAGCACAGCACAGCCCTCTGCCCCRTTGTCTCACTGGCCACCAGAGGGCGCTGGGCACTCAGGAGTCTGAAAAGGATACAACTTCACATAGCTTACATTGCTGTGTCAGAGGCAATGAGCCCGACAGGCCCAAGGGCATTGGTGTCAAATCCTCAGTTATCCTTAGATGGGGGACATTGAAGTCCAAGGAGGGGCTAGAACCTTCCCTAGACCAGAGAAGCCAATGACAAATTTGTCCTTRGTATTTTGAGCAGCTGGTGGATTCTAATGCAATGGGACCCATTAGGGGATGTCTTCATTTTGTCATTGTCATGTTTATTTCAAAGGATTTTGGTTTAGATATATCTGTGCACTCACATTGTCTTTGCATATGAGAAAGACAGTACCTGCTTGTCCACCCTCCACAAACTGTGGCTTCATGGTTCATGTATGAAACATATAAAATGCTTCCCAAATTCCACCCATCATCCCTCCAAACTTAGACCCCCAACATGTTGCTTCTGGGAAGGGTTATTGTCCACCAAAGACGGGGAAGAGCACACAAAGGCCTCAGTTTCCTTTCACGAAATGGGCAGAGGAATCCAGCCAGCCAGCAAGTCTTTCCAGAGAACTGCCTGTGTGTCCCTCCAATGGCAAAAATGAATCCCACGTGTGCCTGCTCTGGAGGCCATCACAAGCAAGTGCGGAGGTGGCTCTAGGCTCTAGTACCAGCACCCACCGGGGACCTCAGGCAGGTCTCATCCGATCCAACTCTGTTTCCTCATCTGTAGAGTGGGAATTCTAGGTTTTCCTATCTAGTAGGTATCATTTAAAAACTAAATGAGGAAAAGCATGCTGTGCTCATATTGCAGTTATTCTCTTCCTCACTACCATTAATGTCAGTTAGCTTAGTAGGCTAATCTGCAACTGTGTCAGGAGGAGCTCAGTGAAGGGGACCCTTATGTCTAGAAAGCCCCTCTTGGGCAGGGGGGGGAATTTGAGGGAAACTTCCCCCAGGTGTTTGCTGGGCAAGGCATCCCAGGCAGGAGAAACYGCAGGTGCAAAGATCTGGCAGTTGGGCTGAGAATGGTGAGGAGGGGTGGAGTTCATCACCATGATGAGCCTTTGTGTAGCTCATTCCTTGAATCATTTTGCTGTTTGGGGCAGTGGTAGTGCCTTTTTTTTTTTTCAATACAATCAAACCATGCTCCCTGCTCTGTGTATGAAGGCCAGCCAATAGCCTCTGAGGGGCTTCTGCTTCTCCTGACTTGGTGTGTGTGTGTGTGTGTGTGTGTGTGTGTGTGTGTCTAATTGACAGGTGAAATTGTATGTGTTTATCATGTACAACATGATGTGTGACTACATGTTTGACTTGAAGCCTGCCTTAGGCAATGTGGTCCCATTTAGAAAGCAGAGGTCTTAAAGTCATATAGGCCCCAGTCAGAATCTCTGTTCCATCTCTGACTGTCTCTGTGATCTTAAGTCGGTCAYTTGGCCTTCTTGAGCTTTGATTTCCTCAGCTCTAGAAGCCCACAGAGGGTAAGACCAGAAGGGACATTTGGCCTGAGCCCAAAGTTCCTGGGGAGCCTCAGATTTGGAACCGTCTCTGACTGGGTATACATATAGTCATTGTAGGGTTTTGTAGGTACTCTGAATGTTAACTTGTTAACTGRATATTTAAGCCATATTTTATGGGTGAGACCCTCTTGGACCCCATCAGCTGAGCACAAAGATCCAGTATCCCCAAAGTGTGCCTAGAAATGCTTTGGGGCTGGGGATGTGGCTCAAGCGGTAGCGCGCTCACCTGGCATGTGTGCGACCCGGGTTCGATCCTCAGCACCACATACAAACAAGGATGTTGTGTCCGCCGAAAACTAGAAATGCTTTGGGGACTTTAGAGGCTTGGAGAGGTCAGTGTGACCAGCAAGGAGGAAGGGGTATTATAGGACCAGACCTGAAGGAACCCACCCCTGGCCTAAACATCTCCAATCCATGCCACCCACCCCACAGACTTCAACACTGACAACTTCATCTGCAAGGAGGACCTGGAGCTGACACTGGCCCGGCTCACCAAGTCAGAGCTGGATGAGGACGAGGTGGTGCTCGTGTGTGACAAAGTCATAGAGGAAGCTGACCTAGATGGCGACGGCAAGCTGGGCTTTGCTGACTTTGAGGACATGATCGCCAAGGCCCCTGATTTCCTCAGGTGCTGTCACCCCAGGGACTGGGCTTGGGGAGGGAAGATCAGAATGTTGGGGCCACATCCAGGGGGACTGGTCTTATGGTACTTCCATGGTTAATGATGTGCAGACCAGGAAGCAATAGGTCATCTTCAAGGCTCAGATCCCCTTCATATGTGGTTGGCCTTGTTCTTTGAAGGACCAGACTCTCCTGGGAAGGATACAGACCCGGAAGGTCCTTCAGTTATGACRGGTGCTGGAAACCTGGAGGATAGCTGTTGGTTCCTCTGAACCTTCCTTCCCTTGGGGTGATTAATTGTGCCTCTGTGCAGGCTACCCTAAGGAACTGGCCAGGGGTGGGCCAGTTCTTTTTTCCTAAGGAGCCTCTACCTGCCCCATCCAGGACCTCTCACCCTCTCCTTTCCTTGCTCTCTTTCCAGCACTTTCCACATCCGGATCTGAGGACACTGCCAAGGCTGTAGGACCTGGAAGCTCACCACCCAGCTCTGCTGCCTATACAGGTGTGGCTGCATGCTTCCCAGGAAAGGAACGGCAGCCTCTGGGGTTTACACCCATGAACATTTCCTGTGGCCCTTTCAGCAAAAAAGAAAGAAAGAAAGAAAAAAAAAAAAAACTTAATGAGAGAAGTGGGTTGTGAGGAGTAGGACCCTTCCCAGGGCTCCCAGTGGTCCAGCCCCAGGACACATAGCCCCTGAGCAAATCCTTCCATCCACCCCTCTCTCCCCATCAGAAATGTCCCTCCTGGGAGGGGAAGGAAGAAAACCCAACAGGAAGTGGTAGGGTCTGACTTGACCATGTGCTGGGTTGATACCCCAGTCACCTAGAGCAAATACAAAAAAAAAAGAGAGAGAGAGAGAGAGAGAGAGAGAGAGAGAGGTCAGGCTTTTAATGAGCTATATAATCTTCTTCCAAAATCCAAGGCTGAGCTGTGCCCCACTCTGGCCTGTTCCTCTTCCCACCACTCCCCAATGTGAAGCTGTGTGAGCGGTGGGTCCAAAGGGCTCTGTCCCTGTCTGTCCCTGAGTTTGAGCACCACCCTATCCAACCTCCCCAATRATGTGGAATCCTCACTGGTGTGTGCTGTCCACAGATTTGTGAACTCCTGGTAGTAAAACACTCTGTGTCCCACACACTCGGTGTCTGCCAACATTAGGAAATGTTCAGTGGTACCTATTCTCCTGGTCCTTAAAATCCCACTGAGAGTGCCTTGCCTCACAAGGTTACACACATCTCTTTCGCCTCAGACTCTGACTTTTGTTTCAGTGCTGTGCCTTCGGGAGGAAGGCATACCACACCTATGCCTCACATTTTCCAGTGATCCCCACAAAGGACAGAGGAGGAACGTTTCCATTTCACTCATAACAATAATTCTTGCTAACATTTGTGGACTCAGGGCTAGCACCTTTGCTTTCAACTCTTCCTCCCAGAGTAGGGATTCATAGCCCATTTTTCTGACGGGAAAGTTGCATAGCCAAGTGCCCCTAAGGATAGATCTTCCCTACAAATGTGCACTGAGCCAAGTCTGCCCAGGGTCTGGGGTGGAGAGGAGGGGCCCCTATGATCTTCCATCTGGAGATGGTTAATTCTGGTCTCTGTCTCCTCTGGAGGCAGTGCGGAGGGGGACAGCTAGCCAGGTGCTCACCCTTATAGAGGTAGGGACACATGGGTGAGGAAGGATGTAGGACAAAACAGGAAGGATCTCAGGAACAGCTAGCCGGGCCTGAGGGAATGACAGAGCAGGAGACCTGAGTGCCCTATGTCCAGACCTGGTGTCTAGACAAGACTCTGAGGGCTCCTTAGAGACAGGGCCACCAGGTTGTAGCTGGGTCTCATGGGTGGAGTCTAAGATCCACTCAAAAGGTCAGTACTGGCTGAAAGCAAAAGGCAGGTGAAGAGGTGACCTGGCCACACAGGGATGGCTACTAGGTGTCCACTGGGTATTCTAGATGTCACCCAGCAGTCCATCTCAGGCTAACCTCAAGCTGGACCCTGTSTTAACTAAGAAGTATCTGCTCAAGCCCTGACCAGCTCTGTGGTGCCAARTGGCCTACTCTTGTCTAGGCCTTAGTTTCTTCATCTGTGGCACAGAGAGATTGGACTGGTGCTTCTTAGGATCTGCCCAGCATGCATGGTGAGGCTGGGATCAAAATAGGGGACAGGGAATRGCCAAGGAGCAGTTCTTGGGAGCCTGGCCTGCTCCAGGATCACAGCCATGGCCTGGAGGCTAGGTCTTTGTAGCCACATCCCTGGCTTCTTGTTCTGGTCCCCAGGGAACAGAAGCAGAGGATATGGCTCCTGACCCTCCCCTCCTTCCTAYTGATAGGTCCTTGAGAAGGGGAACTGGTTTTGTTCTCAAGAGCAATTGCATGATGTCACTCAGCCTGTTAGGAAAATGTCTGTCCTGGCCCAGGGCCTGCCACATGTTTGGCAAGTGGGCTCCTTCCATCAGCCCAGGCCTCTACATGTTCAACTAAGAAATAGGGTTGCTGGCCTCTGTCTTTGACCAGTACCCATTCTCTGGCCTTATTCCCTCCTCTGCATGGACCGGAGGCACTGGGAAAACAGGACACAGCCAGCAACTGCAGGTGGCTGGAAAGTCCCTCCCACCTCTTCCCAGGTAGGCATCCCGTCTGTGTCTCTGGGGCACTGGTTGGGCCCAAGGATCCGARGGCCACCTGCAGGTGAGCTGAGGGCTTCACAGTAATCCCTGGCATAGCCTGGATACTAGGAAACCCACTGGATTCCAGGCCCTTCTCAGAATTTAGCCTTCTTGTCTGCGAAGAACAGCCTCCGGAGCTTGTCAGGCTGCAATAAAGGAGAAGATGCTGGCACCTGGGGTCTCTGAACAGGGGAGGAAAGACCCTGGCTTAGAGACCCATCAGCATTGGCCTGGGGTTGGCGGTCCAAGCCCAGGAAATGGGGCCAAATTGGAATATTGATGATTGCTCCCACAAGCCTCTCTCAGTGCCTGAAACTCAGTTTGGGCAGAAGGATTCACCTGCCTCTGGTTAAGAAGAGGGAAGAGGAAGGAGTACCAAAAAAAAAAAAAAGTGGAAAATAAAGCTCAGCTTACTCCCTGAGTGCTCAACCCCAAGTTCTGCACCCCAGCTAGGGCCCTGACTCTGCATTCGTGAGGCAGAATCGGGGAAGAGTTGACCCAGGGCCACTGGTTTAGGAGAARACACAGGACAACAGCCAGCAGACATGGGATGTGGCTTCTGAGGTCCTTAAAGGACTGCCCACTGACTGGCCCAGGAGGGTCAGRACCTCAGAGGTTGTTGTGTGGGGGGACGTGGGCTCAGCCTACCCTGAGGGAGTTGCTGGAGGGGTTCCCTGAAGGCCTTTCACCTAAGATCTCAGGGTGTCTAGGGTTTCTATTGCCTGAGTCTGAGGCCATGCCCACAGGCAGGGACTCTGTGATCCCACTGTTGCCAGGTATAGGCAGAGTGCAGCCAGAGCTGAGGGCACAGGAGGCCTCCTTTGCTTCCCTGGGAACCCTGGGCTAGCCCCACCCCAACTGCTTCCCTCTGCTCTCCAGATCCCCAAGTTTTCCTCTTCTTCCTTATTAGAAACCCTCAGAATTAACAGCCCTATTCGCCAAGAGCTTTCTCTGTGCTGTGTCCAGAGCGCAAGAGGATGTGTAGCACTATCCTTGGGCAGCTGCTGCTGGACACAACCAGAGGGTCTGCCCATTATTTTACAGAGCAGGAAACAAAGGTCCTGCCTGGATAGGGTTGCCAAATAATATATAATGCCCAGTTACATTTGAATTCAGATAAATAGGGAATAATTGCAGTTACTTGAGACATTTTTTTAAAAAATATTTATTGTTTATCTGAAATTCAAATTTACTTATATGCTCTATATTTTATCATGCTGAATCTGGCAATCTTAGTTGCCAGGGAAGTTGTCTTGCCCAAAGTTACAAAACTGGGAGTGGCTCAACCATAATTAGAGCTAAGGGGCCCTTCTTCATTTCTCAGAGCTCCAAGGCCCCTGCAGTGGCTGAGAGAGGGCCAGAGAGCCTGGTCTGCTGCAGAGAAAGYTCTTAGATGGGCTTGAAGGCCCCATCTAACACTCAAATCAAGCAGCTGCTTTTCTTAGTACYATCTCCACCAGGTGGATGTCAGGGCTAGAAAATTGTGGGCAATGGAAGTGTCCTGACCTGCCAGTGCCTAAAAGTTTCAGGTCCCCTTACTATCACCAGGTGTTCCCTAAGATCAGGTAGCCTCCCATCCCACCCATAGAGCTCACCTTGTGTGTTCGTCCAGACTCCTTGCTCTTGGCAGCTGGGATTTGCTCATAGGTGTTCCCAGGCTCTGGGAGCTCTGGGGTCCCCAAGATCTTCTCATAGCCACAGTCTGCAGGCCTTGACAGTTTGCTATATGTGGGACTGGCCCCAAGATGTGGAGGCCTGGCTGGGCCACTCCAACAAGCTGGAATCTGCTCATAAGGACTGCCTCCTTGGTCTGCTGTCCCAACAAGCTCATAGGAATCTGCAGAGCTGCCCTGGGAGCAGGAMTGAGCCTCGGGACCTTGTTTCAGAAACCCCTGCCTCCAGGTAGCAGCCCGAGATCCCAGGGCCTCAGAACTGGGGGCCAGRAGAAACCCCCAGGACGTGGAAGACATTGTAGAGCCCTGGTCGGGGCTCACCCCAGAGAGGGCAGGCCCTGGGCCATCAGGTCTATTCTGGTCTCCATCTGAAGGTCTCTTCAGAACCTCCCTGCCTAGGGAGCAGGCCTGGCTGCTAGCTGGAATTGACCCATGCCTGCTGGATGCTTCTGTGCCCAGGCCTGGCCGTGCCTGGTTCATCTTCTTCAGGTCTGCGTAGATGATGTCACTGGGGCCTGAAAAAGACTCGTCCAGGAGGGAGGTACTCCTCTCAGGGAGGGGGGGTACCCTGATGGGGGTCTGGGGAGAGAGGGACAGAGAACCTCTTAAAGGGTACCCCATTGCTAGGATGCCCTCAGGTTAACTGGACTCTCTCAGATAAGCTGAGGCCCCTGTCTTGGCCTCAGTTTACCTGTTACATAYCAGGGTTAGGATATGACATTCAGGGTCCCTGCCAGCTCTTGTGCTCAAGGAATATAATCTTTACCTTGACATTTAAGGCCTTTGGCCACCAGCTCAACTCCTTACTCAAGCTTAGTCTTCCCTGTCCCTTCTGCCTCCAGTGTGGTCCACTGGTCCCTCAGAACCCCTGARCCCACTTACTTACTGCTGTCCCCATCAGAGTTGCCCACCCTAATTCTATCACTGGTGTATCCTTTCAGCAAATACTTAATGAGCACCAGCTATGCCAGCCAGTCTTGGGCACTAAGGGCTCAGTGGCAAGCAAGATCAGCCCTTGGGAGCCTATGTTCTAATCTGGACATGGGCAACGCAAGGCTCTATTACATGGTATAAGGGAACTTTATATACTGTATGCTACTACTTGATCACAGTATAATGTGGTGTCACATCACAATCAGTACTGTGAAGAGCAAAGTTAGAATGGCAGGTGGGAAAGAAAGGGTTTTTTTCCATATAAGTGGACCTTACTAGGAAGGGACATTTAAAGAGAATGAAGTGCAGTGAGAGTGTGAGCCATACTAAGGTCTGATGTATAGCGATGGAAATCTGAGTCCCTCCCATGGGGTGCTGTGAAGTAAGAAGTATTGGCCACAGACACCCCACTCTATAGTTTACTAAGGGATTTTAGGTATTTCATACCAATTCTCTCAGTGTAGCCTCACAAGAACTTCAGGAATGGTAAACCGAGATTTAGAGAGATTGTATAATTTGCCCAGAGTCATACAGTGAGAAAACAGCCAAGACCAGGCTTGAAACAAACCCCACTGGCAGGGGCAGGCCCTGGCATGGGTGAACCCCTGGCTGGTTCCAAGCTGCGCCTGCCTCTCTCCCAGACTGGTGTCCCCCCTCCACAGCTGAAAGGACTGCCAGCATGTCCTCTCAAGGCCTGACTGTGACGTGACACCCACATTGCTGGTCTAGAGGTCCTCACCCTGGACGGCCCAGAATCCTCCTCACCTCCGTGCTTTCCTCCTTGGAGGGGTTCCAGGGACTCACATCCAGGCTCTTCTTTGTGTGGAGGAAGGAGACCTGGGGCTTTGCAGAGGGGGAGGGGCTGGCAGCCTTGTCGGGGACCACTGTGGGGGATGCRGGTGGATTTTCCAGGTTGGTCTGGTGGAGGCCCAGGGTGATAGCATCATACAGATCATTGTCCTCTGGCTGGGGGCAGTGGGAACACAGCAGGCCCGTGGTCACATACTCCCTGCCAGCCTCGACAAACATTCCCACCAGATTCCTGACCTCAGATACAATTTTGCCACACTCTCCCCTTTTCGGATAGGGACCATAACCCCACATCGAGTGCCCCTGGATGGCAGTAAATAGGGAAGGTGAGAAAAGGCATGTGTCCAAGTGATGGACGCCCATACCTGGGCACCCAGCCCCTCCACCCTCACCCCGGAAGAAGGGTGCTTACCCGGGGGCAGGCAGCAGCYAAGGTCTCCCCAAAGGGCTCAAGCTGCACTTCCTGGTAATGGCGCACCAGCTCCGCCAGGGTGCTGTGGCTGAGGGTGTCACCAGAGATGAGGTAGCGACGGTTTCGGAGCTGGTTGATAACAAAATGCCGGCAGCGATCGCTGCCCCTGCACACAAACACGGGTGGTCTGGGCTGCTGGCCAGAGGCATCCTGGCCTTGGCCTGGGGTCTGAACTCCAGGCCTGGGTACAGGAGAGGGGCTCCAGCTATCTGTCCAGTGCAAACCTGACCTGGGGCCACCCTTTGGCCTTGGAGCCAGGGAGTGTTCCTCAGGGAGCTGGGAAGAGGTTTCCAAACCTGAGGACCTGGGAAGTGCCTAAGCTCTTCTGGTGGAGTCAAGGAGGTCAGGGTCAGGACTAGGTAGGGCAGGTCCTTGGTGCAAATTTAAAGGGGCAACAAAATAATCATTGGGAGAACAAATAATGCAATATTTTTTTTCTCCTGATACCAGGGATTGAACTCAGGGGCACTCAACCACTGGGCCACATCCCCAGCCCTCTTTTGTATTTTATTTAGAGACAGGGTCTCACTGAGTTACTTAGCACTTCACTTTTGCTGAAGCTGGCTTTGAACTCGAGATCCTCCTGCCTCAGCCTCCTGAGCCGCTGAGATGACAGGTATGTGYCACTATGCCCGGCCAAATAATGCAATATTTTAGATCAAAATGAATGCAAAACTCCATAATGAACAAAATACCAACATTTTAAATAAATGTCAACCTTACACCATTACAACTCAGCCTCACCCTAACTGAAACCATGAGGTTTCATTTCCCACCACCCCCTTCAGCCTAAAGTGTCCCATCCTCATCATTTTCCTTTTATATGGAAGAATAACTGACAGTGAAGTGTACATATCACAAATGCACAGCTGAATGAATTTCCATATAGGTACACACCCATGCAACTGCCATGTAGATGGAGGTAGAAAAACTCTTCAGCCCCTAGAAGGCTGCCTTGGGCACCTCCCTATCACTGCCCCCAAAGCAGCCACTGTGTTAACCCTACCACCACGATTCATTTTGCCCTTTATGGAGCTTCATAAATGAAATTATACAAAATTTCTATTGTGTCTAACTTCTTTCACTCAATATTATATTTGGGGGAGGTTATTCATGTCTGTGATGAATTAGTCCCCACCCCATTTATGTGCAGTTTTTCATCTAATGAAAAATCCACAATCTACTTATTGTGTTGATGGACATTTCAGTTATATCTGGATCTGGGCTGTTATAAATACAGCTGCTGTGAACATTCTCATTCGTGTCTTTGGAGAATATATCTACTCATTTCTGTTGAGACTATACCAAGGAATCAATAGGTCAAGGGTACACCTGAATCTAGCTGTGCCAAATTGTTTTCTAACACTGTTGCCAAGTATGAAGAGCGCCAGGTACTCTGCATTGTCACCAGTCATTGGGTATCATCTGTCCCTCCAATTTAGCCACTCTGTGGTTTTGTTTTCCCAATAACTAATGATACTGAACATTTTTTCATGTATTTTGGGGCTTTGGGATATTTCTTTTTGAAGTGCCTATTCAAGTCTTTTCTTTAATATATTGAATTGTTTTGGTTTTGCCCCATTTACATAYTCCAGATGAGTCCTTTGTTACCTATATGTATTTCCCCAAGACTGTGCCTTTCCTTCCCTGATAATCTTTTGATTGTCAGAAATTCTTAATTTTAAGGGGATCAAGTTTCTCCATCTTTTTAAAAAAATGTTTAGTGCTTTTTGAGTTCTGTTTAATCTTTGCTTATCCCATTTTCAAAGGCATTTTAATATACTTGTGAGAAAAGTTTCCTGTTTTCATCTGGAAACATTGTTTTGCTTTTCTCTTTTGGATCTTTGATCTGTCTAGAATTAGTTAATTTTTGGACATGGAGGGAGATAGGCGTCATTTTTTTTTCCATTTGTCTATCCCATCACTCCCATACTAATTATTGAAAAAACAGGAATTGCAGTGGTGCCTCTGTTGTAAATCAGGTAACCAAACATGGCACACTCTCTGCATGTTCTTCTGTCCCACGTGTCTATCTGTACTTTTTTGAGCAGCCCCTTTTATCTCTTTTATAAGTTGGAATTCTGCCTAAGATCTCATTTGGAGGAAAAAACTCAAAACAAAACAACAACAACAACAAAAAAAAAATACCAGATGCAGAAAAGACACTTGGAAACTGCTGACTTATATTTCAAAGTGCCTAGCATAGTGTCCTGCACATAGCTAAAAAATAACTATTTTAACAATGACTAACATTTCTTTAATCCTTATTATATCCCATGCACTATGCCAAGTACTTTTAAATGCATCAGTTTCTTGAGCACTTTTAACAATTCTTTGAAATAAGTAGGAAAACATTCCCATTTTTACAGATAAGACGAGAGAAACACAGAAGCAAAGAGACTCAAGATTAGGATTTGAACTAGGGGTGTCTGGGTGTGTGATAATTTGGAATCAGAATCTGAGGCATTTGAAGTTTGTCCTCCAGCCCTGACCGCCTTCCCTGCCTAAAGAGCCTTTTCCCTCCTCTGCCTTTCTCAGCTCAACCTACTCTCAGGTCAGGATCCAGTGTCACCATCAATGACTTTGTCCTCGTCCCTTGCATCTTCCTTTCTATCACCAGAGCCCTACCCTAACCCAGACCTCAAGCATCCCACATACAGCCAGTAGCACAGGTCCTCACTCACTGTCCCGACGCCTCCAGAGAGACAAAATGGGCATCTGCCCAGATCACCCCTCTTGGTCTACAGAAGTTTCTTTTTTTCTTTCTTCTCTTTTTCTTTTTCTTTTCTTTTCTTTTCTTTTTTTTTTTTTTTTTTTTTTGTATCAGGGATTAATCCTAGGGGAACTTAACCACTAAGCCACATCCCCAGCCCTTTTTAGTTTTTATTTAAAGACAGGATCTTACTAAGTCCTTAGGGCCTCCATAAGTTGCGGAGACTGGTCTAGAACTTTTCATCTTCCTAGCTCAACCCTCAAGCTGCTGGGATTACRGGTGTGCACCACCACTCCCAGCTTCAAGGCTGTCTTGAGATGCCCCTTCCCTCCTCTCTGGGTGTTCCTCCAAAGAAACCACGAGCCCTGCTGTATCTAGCCCACAACACCCCGTTCTTTGCCTAGCAAATTGCTGTTCCTCCTCCTATTCTGGGCTCAAAGCTCCCCTCTGGAAGGCCTTCCCCAGCATCCCTTTGGGAGAATGTGCTCACTTGGCCCTGCTCCCCATTGAAGGCTGTGGCTAGTGCTGCTCAGAAAGTGTCTATTGAGTATGTGATGGATGAACAAGGGAGTAAGGGACACGGGGCTCAGGGGAAGTCAAGCAGTGGGGGCTGCTGGACCCACACTATGCTGATCTGTAAGGCTGGTTCTGAGAGCCTGAGCCTGCCTTCCCCTCTTACCTGTAGGACAAGATGTAGCCGGCAGCCCTGTCACTGAGGCGGATGAGGAAGGAACCGAGAGCTTTGTCCCTGAGTAGCTGCTCTGTCTGCCTGGGCAGAGGACATGCCATTAGCTGGGGCTCCTTCCCTAATGGCAGCCTAAGCAGCCTGACTCAGAGTCCTGCCTCAGAGTCCCTGAGGGATACACCCTTGGGCACCAGACCCAGGGCACAGACAGTCCTTCAGCCCTTGATAGAGGACACCCTTGGGTCTTTGACTGGGTCTGCAGMCTCTCAGGGCTGCCTGTGGTCTGTCTTTGCTTAATTGAGCAAATTCAAGACTCAATCTGAGACTGGATCAAGGTCCTGAGACCACAAGGACCTCCCTCCTCCCTACTGCAGCCTCACCAGCAGGCATACTAGCTGCAACTCCAACCACACACTGTCCACCTGATGGTTGTGGATCAAGGACAGATCCATACAGCTGGAGATTATTAGGTTGGGGGGATCCCCCCCTCAGGACCACTGTGTACAGTGGTGTGAGATGTGCACTACATAARAGTTTCTGCAGGGAGAAGCCTCAAGCCTGGTCACAATAGCAGCTCACAGGGACTCACCACTCACCCCCCCACTTGTCCCCAAAAGCCCCAGGCAGCTACAGATATTTCTACATGGTGCCAAGTATTTTGGAGGCATGATGGAAAATTCCAGCTGTTTTCTGGTTTGGCAGTACATCGACCCAATATTCCCTTACTCACTTTCTCATCAAGTACTTAACCAAGGGCCTGCTCTATTCAGGACCAGCTACATAATATGCAGGGCCCAATGCCAAACGAACTCGCTGGGCCCTTTGTTCAAAAATTATTAAGAATTTTAAGATAGTGACAGGAGATCATTGAAGAGAGTGGGGGTCTCTCTTGAGTACAAGGCCCTGTGCAGTTGTACAAGTTGATGCCATAAAGCTGGCCTGGCTCTATGCCAGGATGTACCAGGACCTGGTGACTGGTCAAACGTCTTATGCCTTCATCTGATGCTTTGGCTACTTGGAGATACAGCCCAATTGGAAGACCAACCCCCACATCTTGGCATTTATTCCTAAGGTAACAGTGCACCAGAGTTTGCCTAGGATATCCCATTTGTGACAAATTCTCCTAGCTTAGTTACCAATAGTGCCAAGTTTGAGTGACAAATGATATAGTCCCCTAGCCATCCAACCAGTTATTCAAAGCTGGTCTGAGTGTGTTCTGCTCCTGCCTGGCTCTCTTTCAGCCCCAGCAATCCTAGACCTGAGTGATGGCCAATCCCCCTCCCCCATAGCCTCTCCCTCTGCCACAGAATCAGCCACCAGAGGGTGGAGTGGTCCTTAGTCTGTTCCCCCATTCTTCTCCTCCACTAGGGTCCCTGCCTAGCACAGGGAGAGGGCAGGAACCAAAGATTCCTGAATTTTCAGGCCACAAGAGGCTGTGGGCTGTGTGACCATGTGGACAGGGGCAATCTTACTTGCGGGTGATGAATCCATGAAACCAGGGGGGCAGGGCCCCATTCTGCAGGATGAAGGGGGCTTGGGTCTCCATGAACCATTTCATGGCCAGTTCCTGGAGCTCAGCCAGGGCCTGGCTGTCCCTTGTCTCCTCAGTCTCCCTCCCCAGGCTGAGCTGCTTCAGGCTTCCCTCCATCCTGGCAAGCACCAAAGCCACAGCAAGGCCGGCTCAGTCTGTGGGCCTCTATATCTGCCTGTGCTCTGGCTCATTTGCCTGAGCTCCCAACCTCCCACAGTGCACAGGAGCCCCATTGTCACCTCTGGGCGGTGGCTGGCTCTTCTCTCTGATGCTTTGGGACAGGGCACCTTGGCTGGCTGGAGTCACAGTGCGGAGGGCCACGGTAGCAGCCCAAGATGGGTAGGGGCAGTTTCCTGGCCAGCAGATGAGCTGCCTCACCTGGTTTGGCCTTTTCCCCCTGAACCTCCAGTCTTTGTCACAGCTAAAGATCAGACCCTGGCTGAAGTCCACAGCACTGCCCCTGTTAACAAACCAGTGGATTTAAACTCTACATATCTTTTCCTTGTGGATACCATTTGTATTTTGGTGGGGGAAGTTCTGAACCGATTATTTCTTCCTTCCACTCAAAATCTATTGATTGCCTACCATATGCCATGTGAATCTGGGCCCTGGGAATAAAGCAACAAACCACACAACACTCTGCTTATGGATGTACAGTCTAAGCATTCCAAGACAAAGGGAGAGGGAAACACCAGAGAGCACATGGGCCACACTTCTTAGGCAGAGGGTCCCTGGATGCAGTCAGCCTTGCCCAGGAGGCGACAGTGAAGGAGGAAGAGCTGCTATTACCAGCAAAGGGAAAACCATGAGACTACATTGCTACAGATTGYGAGGAACGATGGGGAGCTCATGTGGCTGTAACAAACTTGGCATAGCTGGGTCCCCAGAAGGGCTAGACTAGGCCTTGGACAGGAAGTTTTGGATCAGTATAGAGCCATATGGGACCTTTGCTCATGTGAATATTCCTGATCCCTAATGTGCTTCTGAGTTTCACAGCAAAAATTCAGGCTAGGTGGACATGGAGACAGGAGATGTTGCAATCAGTCAGCCCCAAGACCTGGGTTAGAATCCTGCTTCCATCACACACCTGACATGGGAATTACTAAGTTGTTGCAGATACCTCAATGTACTCATGATGGGAATAATAAGCACTTTCTAGACTCTGGGGTCACTATGAGGACTAGAAGAGAGCATAATGGTAAAGAATAAAGAAACATTTACATAAATTCAAAAAAGGCAGAATGAATCAAAGGTGATAGCAGTCAGGATAGTAGTTATCTTGGGGACGTAATGACTGGGAAGGGGGCAAGGAGCTGCTGAGTGCTGATCAGGTTCTGTTTTTGCATCTGGTTGGTCATTAGATGACTATGTTCACTGTATGAAAATTCACAGAGACGGGCACTCACAATGTATATTTTTCTATGTTCATGTTCTGCTTCAATGAAACAGTTAAAAGAAGGTGCTAAAACCACATTTCCATGGTTCAAATTCTACCTTACTAACTACATGACCCTTGATCAAATGTCATAAGTTTTCTGGTTTCAGTATCTTAATTTTTGAAATGAGGAGAATCATATGACCTGTGCATTCGTATTTCTTCTATTGTTATAAATTAAAGGCCTGAAGCTGTATACTTTAAAGAAGTTTCTTTAGCTCACAGTTTTGGAGACTGAAAGTCCAAGATTGGGCTGACCCATCTATTTAGACTCTGGCAAGGCCTTCTTGGCTACAGCGATCACATCATGGCAGAAGGCATCATGGTGGGGAAGTGGGCAAGAGGGAGCCATTGCATGGTGAGACAGAAAGCCAGGGACCAGGCTCACTCTTTCATAACAACCCACTCTCACAGGATTAACTGGCCTATGAGAACTACTTTAATATCTTCCCAGAGTAGTGCCCACCAATGACCTACCCATCTCCCACCTTTTAAAGGTTCCATCACCTCCCAACATTGCCACACTAAGGACCAAGCTTCAAACACATCAATCCTTGTGAGACAAACCATAGCAACCTGTTGTTAGAAAGGTTAAATGAGTTAAGTCATTTAAACAGTGTTTGCAATAATGCAAGCAATTAGGATTAGCCACTGCTTATGATGATGATGAGGAGGAGGAGGAGGAGAAGGATATAAATATTCTAAAATATGTAGAGTGCACCCTGTTGGAACCTATCATTATTCTTATTATTACAACTTCATCATGGGTCAACTCAAATCAAGATAAAAATGTGTGTGATGCATACAGTTTAGAGGAAAGACCAGGACATGAGGCAAACCTGGGCAGCTGCCCCTGCCTCTGAGCCATGTTTTCCACATCTGTAAAAAGGATAATTATTTTTACCACACACAGCATGGGATGCAATACTGCAAGTAACACTCTTCACACAGGGGCAGGCACCTAGGCACATTGCAAGTGTTCTCAGAGGGCTGGCTCCCAGGAACATCACTTTGACAAACAATAGATTTCCAAACTTGATAATTTGACAATTTTAGGGAGGCATCAGAAGCAAACCATCATTCATGTTCTTGCTAATTGATATCTCTTGCCACACACAAGACAGTGCTACCATGGTGTCAGAATGGAAATCCCAGGCTGGCAAGTTCTGGAATTCTCTAAAATGCAAAGTAGGGAGGAGGGAGATTGTATCTTTATTTTCCCTAATCTCTAACTGAAACTCAGCATTTCCTTCCCTTGGAAGAAATAAACCACATTAATGTTAGCAGCACCTGTTACTTTGTCAGCAACAGAAATACAGATATTTGCATATTACATTACAGCTGTTGCAGACAGATATCTTTTTTGTTCATCATTACCTCAAAATTATAGCAATTTGATGTAATGATGGATTGTGTTCCTTAACACATCAATAAAGAAGCACAAAGGGTTACTACATCAAGAATATTTTGATAAACCCTATTTTCACATAATTTATTTTCATTGTCCCTCTAGGTATTGTATTTTGTGCATTAAAAAAAAAAACTATTCTGGGGTTGGAGTTGTGGCTCAGTGGTACAACATTTGCCTATCATGTGTGAGGCACTGAGTTTGATTCTCAGTACCACATATAAATAAATAAAATAAAAGTCCATTTACAACTTAAAAATGTTTTTCAAAGATAGATTCTGGGGCTGCAGTTGTAGCTCAGTGGTAGAATGCTCACCTGTACTTGTAAGGCACTGGGTTCAATCCTCAGCACCACATAAAAATACAATAAAACAAAGGTATTATGTTAACCTACAACTAAAAAAAAAATCTATTCTGAGCTGAGAATGTTGGCACATGCCTGTAAATCCCAGCTCGGGAGGCTGAGGCTGAGGATGGCAAATTCAAGACTAGCCTGGGCAACTTAGCTAGATTCTGTCTCAAAAAAGCTCAGTGGTCGGGCTGGGGATGTGGCTCAAGCGGTAGCGCGCTCGCCTGGCATGCGTGCGGCCCGGGTTCGATCCTCAGCACCACATACCAACAAAGATGTCCACCGAGAACTAAAAAATAAATATTAAAAATT